ACCTCGGGGTCTTGTTGCTGGAGATGTTTGAGTACTTCGCGCACAAGTTTGACTTTCGCAAGTACGGGATCGACGCTCTGACTGGAGAGTTGGTCAGGAAGCAGGTTTGGCAATGCTTTATTTTTTTTCTTTGCAAAGAAATTGAAGGCAGAAATCAATGTCCATGTGTATTTGTGTGGTTGTTAGATACCCAGTGGCGTGCTGTACATTGTGAATCCTATCAAACCCAATGAAAACATCGCCTCTGCGACGAATTCCTTTCCAATTTTGTTGGGCTCTTTCAAGTGGATTTTTGCGGAACTGCATACTTCTGTGTTGCGTGGCAGTAATGGAGGAATTCAGCAAGGGTGAGAATTTATCTTCACTTTTCGTGACGAGGACACAGTAGTTGACTCTTGGCTGGTGAACTTCATTATTGAAATACAGGCACTTTTTATTTGGTGCGGACGAAAATATTGAATGGAACAAGTTGAAATTCCGAGGAAAAATTCTGGATTTTGATACCACTTTCATAGGTGAAAAATCTCACACAAACTTGGTCTTTTCAGGATTCTGGGCAAGCTGTTGGGCTTCACGGAAGAGGAGCTCAAAGGAAGGGAATTGCATGAGAGGTTGTTTCACAGACGAGTGTTCGGACCTGTTTAATGACTGATTTACCGCGTTTTCGGAGAATTATTTGTTTGTTTTTTGTCGAAATTAGAGCCGGGTAATTTTTTTTCTTGATGAAAGTCAAATTTTTGACTATGACATTGTTTTTTCTTTTCTTGGAATTTCAAGGTGGGGGAATATCCATTCCTTGAAAAGAAATTAAATTCCATAGGTTTTTCGATTGAGGAATGAGCACAAAATCGTATGTTTCACTTCTTTATCTTGATAATGTGAAAAACAACTGCTCTGGTCCCTTCTTGTTTATTCGTGGACTGGGTAATTTCACGGTTGTGCAAATCTTGAAGCAGACATGGCTGACAAGTCGTAAGAAACTTTTCTTCCTTGAGCCCAAGTGGCCAAGATTTTTCCGATAACAGGTCCCAGTTTGAATCCGGTGCCTGCGGAAGCAATACTGTACTGTAATAACCTGCGTTGAAATTGGAATGATTGATGAAATTACCAANAATCCGCATCCGAAAATGACGTTTTCGTGCTTGGGATGTTTATCCAAAATGCAAATTTCGTCCGGAGTCACCTGTCAAAGGAAAGTTTGAGTCTTCAGTCTTTCCGACACTCTTGGGACGATACAGCTAGCCAGTTTTATAAGGATTCCATTATTTTCTTTACCGTGTACATGCAGGTTTCCACGATTTTCGGAGTTGGATCCAGAGCCTGGCAAGTTTCAGCCACAAATTCCCGCAGCTTCTTTAGTTCACCTTCCGCATCAACAGCGTCTCTGGCATCCGGATTGATTGCCGGCCCTTGATGAGGGCCAAACTGACACATAAAGATAAATACAGTACAGTTGAACATCTGTGAGTCGAATTTCTAGGGACGAGGAAAAAAATTTGACTCAGGGAGGTTTTGAATTAAGGAAAAAATAATTCTTGCTGTGAGGATTAGTAAAAAAAAACTGCAGGAAATTGTAAATGAAGAGATTCTGGGCCTAAACTTGCCTCTTGATGAGTTTTTACTGTGTTGAACTTGGAGGCAGGGGTCTTTCGATTTCTTCCAAGATGCATCAAATTATTTGTTTCAATCATTTTATCTCTCATATTTCACAGAAATAATAACCAGAAGGCCTCAGAAAATTCGTCTTACAGAGGTTTTAGAAAAAAAGAATTCGTGTTAGGGAGGTTTTTAATGTATTGATTTTAAGGGAATTTGGACAGGGACTTGAAAGCAAATTTCGACTTAGGGAGGAATTCGACTTACAGAGGTTTGACTTATCAAGGTTCGACTGTACAGCTCAAAATTCGAGAGAATCATTACTTGGAAACCACGAAAGATTTTTGAGAAACCCAAAATGACGTACCTTGACAAGTCCTGGGTACTCAATGCTGGGAATGGACCAGTTGCAATTGTACTTGCTGGA